AAAAAAAAAAAAAAAAAAAAAAAAAAAAAAAAAAGAAGAATTTAGGGAAAGATTTAAAACTTAATGCCAATTTTCACGAGATTATTATTTGACAGAAAGGATCAGGAGAGATTATTAAATGCTTTGTGTGTGCTGCAAATACAAAGACCTTAAGCACATTAGAGTGCCTGTCAGAAATATCGAAATAGCGTGAGAAGGAACGCCGGGCGAAGGAAATAAAAATATATTAAATGCGTCTACGCCGCGTCTAAACTTGAAATGAACTGTGATGAAAGGCTCTCCGGGTTTTTTGCTGGTGACATCCTGGGTGCCCGGCCCTGCCATCCCCGTTCCGTGGGAGAGGGATGGATGCAGGGAGAGTGGGGTCAGGCGTTCCCCGGCTGTCGTCGCGTACCCGCGCCCGTCCAGATTTACAAAAGAGAGCTCTTAGTGTGCAACTGCCTTGTAATGGGGATGTAACTTCGCAGAAAGCCTGCTCTCAGAGCTGTAATTCCGTTATCTGCCAGCTGCACAATAGCGGCTGAGTTTGTTTTATGCCGCAGCACACTCCCTATTGAAAATAAAAAGGTGCTGTTTGGTGTTGAAGATTTTCAGAAATAACCTTCTGCTTGACCTTTTTTTTTTTTTTTGCCACAATTATCTTTTTTTTTTTTTTTCCTGCCAATTTCACTCGAGTTTGAGATGAAGGTAGGAGATAAACTCCCGATAGCCTCATCTCCCAACGTCAGCCGTCGCTGGGGTCAGGCCCAGCAGAGATGTGCAGGGAGTGATTTTCCGGTACCGCCGCTACCGACCGGAGTTTATGAAGCTTTTTTAGCTCTTTTGTTTTAATAAGTGATTTAAGCTGACATCCAAAAGCCTGATGGAGTTGATGTGTGATAATTTGCATGCAGGGTGAAATGGGAGCACTCGACGATCCAGTCGCTATAACAAAAGGTGACTTCGCGTGGCTCCTTTAAACCATTAAAAGGGATTGTTTTTGCGTTGTCGTTTGAGGGGGAGTTCTGGGCTTCTTCACCCACCCGCGCGATCTGGTGTCAAGGCAATCTCAATTTTGCATTTCAAATGATCTCTGCTTAAAGCCCAAACCTATTGCAAAGCACCGTATTTTCAGAACGAATCAAACCAGATCGCAGTTTCAAGGATGGCGTATTTTAACACTTTTATTGCCCTGATTTGATTTAGAAGATGAGCTCGTTACGGCCCTGCAATTCCTGTAAGTGCTGGGCACCGCGCAAACACAGGAATATTATTTCAGAGCAGAACTGGGTCTATGTATAAATATGGGAGCTTATAGGAGCGAGGTCTAACTTTTAAGTGCAAATCGGGGCTTGCACATGATGAGAGGTCTCTGGGCCAGCCCTTGCTCAAAGCAGGTCAGCTCTGAGACCAGCCCACTCACGCGGGGCTTGATGTGAGGAGCTGTGTGATGTCTTCAACTGAATCATGAGGACAGGCTGGGAGAGTTGGGGGGTTCAGCTGGAGGAGAGAAGGCTGCGGGGGGAGCTTAGAGCGGCCTCCCAGGGCTGAAAGGGGCTGTGGGAAAGGGGGGGGCAGATAGGACAAGGGGGAACAGCTTTAAACTGACAGAGGGGAGATTTAGGTCAGACCTAAGGCAGAAATTCTCCCCTGTGAGGAGGGTGAGGCCCTGGCACAGGCTGCCCAGAGAAGCTGTGGCTGCCCCCTCCCTGGCAGGGTTCAAGGCCAGGTTGGACGGGGCTTTGGGCAACCTGGGCTGGTGGAAGGTGGCCCTGCCCGGGGCAGGGGGGGTGGATCTAGATGATCTTTCCGATCCCTTCCAACCCCAACCAGTCAGTGATTGTATGAAATCCATCACCTCGTTCCGTGCTCCCAGATTTCGGTGGCTTCGCAGGAGCAGTCTCCAGCCACTGCTAAACGGAGGGACCCCAGCCTAGAGCCCAGCCTTCGTAGGCTCCCTCCTTCATGAGAGCGTGCCCTTAATGCTCTCAGCCATCATCTGCAATCCCTCGGACAGCTAAAATAGAGTAACGCATAAAGGAGTTGAACTAGATAGCAGTAACGGGCACATGTGCACAATATGTGCAAACAGTGTAAGTAGAAGCTAACAGAGGCTAATTGCCTGCGAAAAGAAACCAAAGCCTGCTGCAGCGCACCAAATCAATTTATAATTTAATAGCATTAAGCTGGTACATACAGAGCTGGGGCAGAAACACGCACAAGGAAGGCAGCTTTAAGCTGGCACTTACAGGCTCTTCGTGAGGTGACTTTGCCCGTGTCGGGTGGCGTGTTGGTGTCCGCCTGCAGGTTTTACGAATTGTCCTTTGCTTAAACCGGTCTTGCCTGATCAGATTTGCATGTCTCCGCTTTCCTGCTACCTCCGGGTAAATGCATCTGTGGTGTGCAAATAGATATTTGGGCGAATTCTTTCCCAGAAGTTCCATTTTAAGATGCAGTCCATCCTCTGAGCCAAAGATCAAACTGCAGTAGCCTGGATGGAACAATCCATTTTAGTCTTTCATGGATTCATGGCGCTAAGCCTGGGCTAAATAGTCTTTCTGCAGTCTGTTTTTCACGGGTTTATCACCCTTTTTGTATTTTGTCTAGACTTTCTGAGGTGTTTGGTGCATCCCCCCCGAGGGTTGTGCCACGTGTCAGGAATGGGATTTTGACGCCATCCTTTTCTTTCTGTGCAGTGCAAGTCCCCGGGCCGGTGGAAAACCTTCGGGCTGTGTCTACCTCACCTACCTCGATTCTCCTCTCCTGGGATCCTCCTGCCTATGCGAACGGCCCCGTTCAAGGCTACAGGCTCTTCTGTACGGAGACAGCGACTGGGAGAGAGCAGGTGAGGGGTGACCAGAGCGGCTCTGCTCTCCCTGTGACAAGGACATCTTTGGTGGGGGAATCTGCAGGAATTTAGAGCGCCGTAAAGGCTCAGAGTGAGGGATTTCACAGATTAATCCTCCAGATTATGTAAATATTGGAACACGGAAGGGATCTGAGCCCTGGGCTCGGCACTGGGGAGGCCGCCCCTCGCTGAGGGGTTCAGTGTTGGGCCCCTCACCCCAAAAAGGCCATTGAGTGACTCGAGCGTGGGCAGAGAAGGGCAACGGAGCTGGGGCAGGGTCTGGAGCACAGGTCTGCTGGGGAGCGGCTGGGGGAACTGGGGGGGTTCAGTCTGGAGAAGAGGAGGCTGAGGGGAGACCTCCTGGCCCTCGGCAACTCCCTGCCAGGAGGGGGCAGAGAGGGGGGATGAGTCTCTGGAGCCAAGGCCCCAGCGCCAGGCCCCGAGGGAATGGCCTCAAGCTGCCCAGGGCAGGGTCAGGCTGGCTCTGAGGAAGGATTTCTGTGCAGAAGGGGCTGTTGGGCGTTGGAATGGGCTGCCCAGGGCAGGGGGGAGTCCCCGGGATCCCTGGAGGGGTTGAAGAGTCGGGCTGAGCCAGCGCTGAGGGATCTGGGGGAGTTGGGAACGGTCAGGGGGAGGGTCATGGTTGGGCTGGAGGAGCTGCAAGGGCTTTTCCAACCCGGATGGTTCTGTGAATGTTGCACAGGCCAATGATAAAAGTGCAACTCAAGCAACATAAATTTACACCAGCACAAAATGGGTCCGGGAGGTAGCGAGTGAAGGCAGAAGCCTGTTCTACATTAAACATTCCTCAGCTTTACGCTGAAATTTCAGAATAACGCCAAAGAGCACTTAAGTCTTCAGACTCCCCCTCTATATCATGCAAAACCATCAACACTTTAATGGCAGTTTGTTAGACGTGATCTTTGTCGACCATCTATCTTTTTAATTACTCCTTTTAACTTCGTTCAAGTGGGAGGGTGAAATAATACGAATCCAAGCTAGATGTGGTGCAGTTCCTCTTCAGACCGATGGATGCTCGTAGCAAAAATTGGCACACGCTTTCGAGTGGCAAACAAACAGCTTTCTACGGGTTGCAAACTGCTCGGACGCTTCCCACAGGCCATTTACTTAACCAGTATTTGATAGGAGTGTGGCGGTAGTAGCAGAGACAAGCTCTGTGGGTGGAGTGGAGAGGTTTTAGCAAAGAACAGGGCAGGGAGGAAAGCGGACGTGTCATTTTTCTGACCTGATAGCTTGTGATGATCACAGGCATCAGCAGTCTTGTGGCAGGTGCTTCAGTAGGCTTACAGGAACTTTTCTACCGCCCCCATTTTTACTCTTCTGGTTTTGTTTTACTTCTTTCTTTTCTCCAAAATCCCCCTATGGCTCTGCCTTTATTTTTTTTCTTTCCCTATCACGTATCTATGGAGTGGCAGGAACTGGCTTCACCAACATACCCCCGTTTTCTCCTGCGCCCTGACTAACTAAACCCACCTCTGAGGCACTGAAATCCCCTCTACCCCAAAGCCATGGTCAGGGCTGCTGACAAGCACCGAGAACCAAGCCACAAAAAGCCCCTCTGTTACAAATTGTATTTTATATGAACTTAAACAAGGATTTAGCTCTACTTCTCAAAGAGTGCAAAGCTCACCGCTAATCCGCTCATCCCTCAGCGTGGCCGTGGCGCTGGCGGTCACGTTTCCCCTTGGTTTATCGTCCCTGTGTGCTAGAACGTGGAAGTGGACGGGCTTTCCTACCGCTTGGAGGGGCTGAAGAAGTTCACGGAGTATACCCTGCGCTTCCTCGCCTACAACCGCTACGGCCCTGGAGTCTCCACCGAGGACGTGACGGTCACCACGCTGTCGGATGGTGAGTGGGAACGGAGGGGCCCCAGGGGTTGGGCAGGTTGAGGCTGTCAGTCACCATCATCCGATTTATTATTGTTTTGTCTTCCCCAACCGTATTTTGGAAGAGGCAGCAACAAAGCGAGGGAATTATTGAATGTGCAGGACAGAAATCAGAGATTCAGTAGCTGCCTGCAGTGGAACCCTCTGAGTTGGTGTTCATCCCCGAGGATAATTGGTTGGGTTCATTATTCCTATGTCTAGTGATAAGGATAGCCTATTCTCTCTTTATTTTCTCTTTAACTTGGGCACGGGTGTATCCTTTCATCTTTTCAACAGACACTATTTCATTACAGCTTCATTCGAAGAGCCAACTACCTGGGTTTTCCTCGTGCTTTAGACGCAGGGGTAACAAATGCGTCAGGGCTTCAATCTCTGCTCGGCACAGCAGCTGCACCAGCATCTTTCCCTGAGCTCACGCCGGGCTCCTGTGGCTCGCAAGCTCTGGGAAATAAATTGAATTTTATTTTGCATTCCGAAGCACTTAGTTGTGTCTGATACCACAAAGCTTCCGCACGCCTGAGTCCTCTTGAAATCACTGAGCCTGATCCCCACACCTGGCGAAAACAGGAATAACTTCATTGGAGTCATTTTGGGCTGCAAAAGTGTAAAAGCATAAAAAAAAAACAAAAAAAAAAGAAGGAAAAATTCTTTCAGTGGGGATGACGAGGGTTCATAAAGCAGAAGCCAGACCAAGGACAGGCTTCAGGCAGCCTCACAACCGGAGGGTCCTTTTTGGTACCAACATTTTGCTTAAAGATGACATAAGAGGTGTCAACTAAGCGTTAAAAGATGAGATTTATAAACAGTTAATTTTCCTTCTGATCAAAATGCAGACAGCTGCCTTTTCATTCATGCTAATAAAGCAAGGTGGGGGAGTTTGGGTGGCCCTGGCCTGAGTTTGCATTGTTAATTTAAGGTCAATTTCATGGGGAAAGAAAAAAAAAAAATCTCTTATATTTGTTTAATTTATCTACAGCCTAAAGCGCTTCTGTGGGTCTTGAGCGTGTTGGTGGTATCTCCCATGGGAGGGATGCTCCATACTCGCCTCTGCCTGCTCCCGGTAGGGTTGATGCCACCCAAAATTATCCTGGGGTCTGCAGGGCCCCCCCAAGGTCTCCTTGACCTCTGGGAGGAGGAGCACTGGAGGAAGTATGGTCTGAAAGGGAGCGGTGCTTTCATTTTAAAAAGGCTGAGCGTTGTCCTCAGGGGTCGGGGTTGGGCCCGGCGCTGTTGAACGTCTTTGTTGGGGCTGTGGGCAGTGGGATCGAGGCCCCCTCAGCAAGTTCCCGCCGACACCGAGCTGTGTGGGGCGGTGACACGCTGAGGGAAGGATCCATCCCGAGGGACATGGACAGGCTGGAGAGGGGGGACGGGCAAACCTCCTGGAGTTCAACAAGGCCAAGGGCAAGGTCCTGCCCGTGGGTCGGGGCGATGCCCAGCACAAATCCAGGCTGGGCGAGGAGGGGATGGAGAGCAGCCCCCAGGAGAAGGACTTGGGGGG